ATTTTAGTGGCCAATTTTTCATCGATTTAGTCAACTCTTTATTGTAGTCCATATATGATTATATACTTAATCCATGATAATTCTATGATTTATTTTGTGCGATGTAAATTTAAAGGTCAACATAAGTTCATACAAGGAAAGAACATCTCAATATTCATAAATTGATGAAAACAATGAAAGTTAATAATGTAGTACCCTCATTTCTTATTGGATTCCTAAAAAACAACATTTATAATGAATTTTAATAATTTTTTCGGATTTTTTTGAAGCTCCGACCGATTCAGCCGATTCCCGATCCAGATCGCCGATTCGCCGATCCGGATCGGTTTTGAGGTGCCCAATCCGGGTCACCGATCTACTTTTTAAACCATTGGTTTGAAGCATCAATTTGCACCACAAATGGGTGTTCAAAGTCTAGGAAGCAAAACATAGGATTTATGGTTATTACCACCGTCAAATCATCTAACCCTGCCTCGAAAGCCTCTATTTGGGCCCACTTAACATCCCTCTTGAGAAGGTCAATCAAGAATTCTATTATTTGGTCAGTTGTGAACCATCAAAACATTGTTCACCATGGACAACCCTAGAAAGATAGTGGCCTTGACAAACCTTCTCAAGAAGGATTTAAGAGGCCTTAGATTGAAGCTTATAACGTTGCATTTGAGGATTTGGAGAAGGCAATAACTAGCAACCATGTGTTGCACCTCCCAAACTTTAAACACCTGTTCAAGGTGTAAATTAATGATTGGAGCTATGAAGTAGATTGATAACCTGAGAGAAGGCATATTTATGAAGTACGTTGATAACCTGAGAGAAGGCATATTTTGGCTTTCAAGAGCCAAAAGCTCAATGAGATAAGGCAGCAGTACATTGACCATGAGAAGGACATGAGTACAGTGGTGCACTGATTGGGGTCTTATGCTATTTATCATCCTATAGACTTCAAAAATGATTAACTAATTTTCCTTGGAAAGTGATTGTACAACATAATTTTGTAGCGAAATTTGGTTCAATAATTATGAATTTATTGCAAATCACAGTTGATGACTAAATGGAGACTTTGCTATTTACATCCAATAAACTCAGTAATGATTAATTGATTTGCCTTGCAAAGTGAGGGTACAGTATTACCTACTAGACTGCCACCATCCCAACAACACCAAATGATGTAGTCTATTCTCAGCTATCTCCTTCCATCGCCCGAGCTACTAGTATTGAATAATTCAAGATTAAGATCATTAATCAAGATGAGGTTCTTTAGACCTAAACTAATACTTGTAGATAACAGAAGATGACATGACCAGAAACCAGATCCAAATTATATAAGGCAGATTTATAAGTTGGCAACATGGGGCTACCATCGTTTACCTATGCAAATATTAAGCCACATACGTGTCCTAACTCCTAAACATATTCCATAGAATACAATCACATTTTTCCTTGAAAAAATGACACGGCGCACCAGCTTAAATGTCATCTTGGACTAATTAACAGAACATATCGATTCAAACTTCTCCATTCAAAAAAAAAAAACTCCGATTAAAACTTCAAACCATGCGTCCAAGAGCTTCAACATGAAATGGTCCAAAACTTGACATCAAATAATTATAATTGAAGTAGACTCATTCTGTGCAAAGAACTCAAATCCACCCAACAATCATAAATTTATAGCTCACAATTTCTTAAAAAAGCAGATGAAAAAATAAACAAGGCCTTCAGTAAACTATAAACAACTTTCTAAAGAAAGGAAAGAAGAACCAGGCGCGTAGTAAAAACTAACAAGGCTTTCATGAAACAAAAATGGAAATAAATAAATCTCTGATAGCATCTAAAGATTCTAGACTAACAAGGAAGAAAAATTCCAAGACCCAAATGTTTTTAAAAAACAATGAAGCCTGAAGTAATGGAAAAGATAAGCTAAAAACTTCACACGCACAAGAAAGGATTACCTGGAACCTCCGCAATACGAGGCTCCGCGTAGTGGCCACTGCAGACAACAACCCCATCATAGATTTCATTAACATCGACCGCCACGTCTTCTCCAAAATCCCTCCGCGACTTCACCACCCACTTCCCACCCTCCATCATGCCCACATGAAAGACCTCAGTTCTGAACCGAATGGCCTTCAAAACATCGGACTCGGCTGCGAAATCATCCAAATAGAGCTCCACCTCCTGGTAGCCCGGAAACCTCCTCAAGTCCCTCCCTTCCTTGATAGAGAAAGGGAAGTCCAAGAAACCCATTATTTCTCTGGGGAGATTGGTTCTCAGGGAACGGTAGAGGCTGCTATGGACCACCTTCCTACAGGGGTCGATGCCGAGAGGGTCAGTTTCAGTAGATGGGTCATAGACCCAAGTGCCCCCTGCCTTCTCTCCACGCTCAAACACCACCACTCTGTGTCCCTCTCTCTCTAATTCTCTGGCCGCCACAAGCCCAGCTGCCCCGGCACCTATCACCGCCACCTTCTTCTTCGCCGTGACCATGCTTCCGCCACCAGTTCCAGCAAATACAGACGCAGTAGTGTTAGCTGCTGAGGGATTGTGATGATGATGGATTGGGAGAGAGGGGTTGCACACAGAGGAAGAAGCCATCATCTCTCTCTATCTCCCTATCTACGCTCCGTCTCCAGAAATGCCCGCTCTCGGGGGGATGCGAAAGCTTTGTAGGGATTTGGTATTGGCGCGTCTGCCATGCTCCTACTGGAGCATAATATACATCTATTCTCTGGTAAGATATATAAGAGAGCTTTTTTTTTTTTTTCCAATTTAAAATTTTGAAAACTACTTAAAAAGTATTAGATGATTATTTTTTAGAGAAAAGTTTATATAAGGTTGCAATCTTAAAAATGTAGAATCACATATTCACCTCAAAAATCTATTGGAAATGTTATTTTAAAGTTGAAAAAGCCCTCTAATCAATCAGCTCGACATCAAGATCGATGAATATGAACAAAAAAAAGTTCTTGAATCCCAAAAATAGTACATCTTACAACACATTATCTAGACCGTCCATTTTCATATATTTATAGATCTACTTGATTTTAACCAGTTTTGGAATTTAAAATTTTCTAATTAGGTATGAAAATAAATTTTAAGATAATACTAAGAATTTTTTACAACAAATTACATGTTATGATAAAATTTTAAGGTGCGCCTTAATTAGCTTGTTTAAATTGCAATCTTATAAAAACCGCACCCTAATTTTTCAGATAAATTTTGAATCTTCTAGTACTTGGACCTCACCCTCTTGAAACTGGACCATAATCAAGTAGCCAATACTCTACAACTTCCTTCTTATCCATAAATCTATTAGATTTTCTTGAGAACTACTTCAACTAGGTTTTTTATTAGAACTGGATTTAAAGACTTTTTTGTTCCTTTTTGTGTTTTACAATCTTCATCACATGACCTAATTTTTCATAGCTCCAACTGTTCACTTTCTTACACCCTCTTGATTTGGATCTTAACTTACATGTATCCGTAGTTCTCTTAATTGATCTTCTTCTTGCTACAAACACATCCCAAGAGGAATCTTGACTAGACTTCCGCCTAAACTCCTCCATCATAAGTGATGAAACAACAAAATAATATTCAAGAGATTTTGTACTACTGATATTCTTGATTAATCCATCACATGATTTTGGCATAGAACAAAGTGAAATAATTGCTTTGCCTTCTTCATCAATTTTTATATCTAGTGACATCAACTTGTTAATCAAGGCATTAACCTCATTTAAGTACCATTGCAAAGATGCACTATCATTCATCTTGAGATTGTAAAGTTTTTTACAAAAAAATATTTATTAAGAAGAGACTTACCTTCATAAATACTTTTCAGCCTGTCCCATAAATCTTTCGCAATAGTTTTTTAGAAGACATTGAATAAAATGAACTCATCAGACACTAAGAAAAGATCAACCTTGGTCAATTCATTCTTCTCATCAAATTCCTCATCATCCATCGTTGTAGGTTTTTTTTTATTTGTCTTTAAAGCCACTACACAACCATCTTTCACCAACACCTCATGCATCCTTAATTTTCAGGTTGAGAAATTCGAACCATCAAATTTTGGAAGTTCATATTTGGTTGAACTTCCTCCAACCATCTTCAAAGATCTACAATCTGCCGCAACCCTCGTGCCCAACAAGGATCTTAAACCCCTAAGGCTCTAATACCAATTATAGAGGATAAAAATCAAGGATTGGCAAAAATAAGAGAAAGAAAAATAGTGCAGAAAAATAATATAAGAGAGGAACAAAGACTTATGTGTTTTGGCAAGTTGTCTACGTCCACAGGGCAGCAAAGTTCTCTTCCATTAATAAGAAAGCATCATGCAAGCATGAAGAATACAAGGGATTAAAAGCTATCTCTCTCTCTTTCTCAAGCCCTAAAATAGGGTCTCTCTCTCTCTAAAACACCTACCCAATGATAAAAAACAATAACAATTTTCTCTATGATATTGCATTTTTTCCATATGTTATTTTCTCTCTTTACAAGATAACTTATATAAATAGAATAATTCATGGGTCATTCATGTGAAGCCTCTATCTCAATTCTTAAATCTTATAGATTTCTTATATCTACTAGGATTTTGTTTCCCATAAAAGAAAAGTTAATGCTCAATGAATTACATTCCAGGAGAAAAATTAGTAAGGTGATGAATGCTACTTTCATCGCTCTTATTTTAAAAAAAGCAGTCATCAACGAGGTAAAGTGTCACGACCCCACCCCCCTGACCCCCAAACCCTACATGTTTGAGGGCGGTAGAGGGCGAGATCGCGACATGAGGTGGCAAACGTCACTCAAGTGGGACTAGCTCAACGCAAAAAAACACGAAATCTAGAGCAAACCACGAAATAAAACTAAAATCTACACATAAAGACAGATATTATACCAAAAGAACAACCATTTCTATTTCACTACATATCAAAAAGTTCGTACAATTTTCTTCAAGGCACTAATGCCCCAAAAATACAAAGTGTAAAGTAAATATCACAGTGGTAAAACCACCAAAAACATACTATAGAAAGCTTTGGAAAACGGTTCTTCAAACTTGAAGCTTCAACCACCCGAGCACGACACAGCTACCTGCCTTCAGCTCAGAGATCAACACTTTAACTCTACAATCATGTAAATAAGATGGAATGAGCTAATAGCCCAGTAAGCAGATCTACACTATTGCGTCCCAACTTGGTGACAGTGATAGCAGTAAACATTTCATACTAATTCACAGAATATCAAGAAGAGTCCCTCTATGATGTCTTTCAGTATTCTAACAGTATAATGATAAAAGCAGTTCGATACACAGTGTATAAGGCATAAATCACTTCACTTTAGCTAGCACAGTAAGTTTAACAAATCACAGCTATAGAAGCTAGAGAAGCCTACTCTTGAAATAGAAATTTCATTGCTCAGGCTAAACCAATCCTGCGGCATTAAACCTCTACCCTCGTTCAGGAGGGAGGACAATGACAAGTGGGTGTCTCACTTCATAATACCCTCACACACACACACACATGTGTTCCTAGTGCGCTTTGGGGTATTCGATAGGCAGTGGCCTTGTAAGACACGACCATCTCCTTATGCCTTTTTGGCGAGAGAGCGTTACACTGCCAACGAGTGTCCCAATGCGTAGTGCCCATATCAACTGGGGGGGAGAGCGACCCACCCTATTATCTAGTTTCACTTCCTGACCCCATTCCTATCATTGGAGTCGAGGTATAATTAAATCAGTAGCCGACAGAGTAGTATCCAACCACTAATGGGTGCCCATTGCGTGGTGGTCAAAGGCATAGTATCTCACAGTATAAACAATATCACATTACCCACTACCAATGAGTGGCCCATTGCGTAGTGGTTAGTATCATTACGGCTCATCAATATCGCGGTATCATATCCACAGTGTCACAGTGACCGTAGCAATATCATAGTAACAGTGGTAGTATCACAGTAACAGTAGCAGTATCACAGTAACAGCAGCAGTATGACAGTAACAATACGAATAGCGCAGTAACAGTACAAGTAGCACAGTAATAGTAGCAGCAGCACAGTAACAGCAGCAGTATCACAGTAACAGTACCAGTAGCGCAATAACAGTAACAGTAGCACAGTAGCAGTAGCACCCCCGAGCGTTACAGCTCAATTCCCTGCAATTATAGGCAATGATGTGCGCTCACTAATAGAGTCGTAACTTTTGGTTCGTTTGAAACTTGAAAACGGTTCCAAAATCAATTTTGTATTAGACACATCTATCTTTCACAAGGGGATGGTTTGAAGACAATTGGACCTCGTTTGACTTCTTAGAGGTACATGAAAATGGGGGTTTGCTAGCTGCATCCTGCTGTGTACATGAGACAGCGACATACCTTGTTTCGTATCACGATAACTCTCAATCCATGAAGTATTTTGAGACAATTTCAAAATCAAAGTTTGAGCCAAGACACATATCTTTCTAACAAGGGAGTTTGAAACTTTTGGACTCCATTTGGTTGTACTAAGACCCATGCCAAACAAGGTGATAGTTCTAAGTTTTACCAAGACTGTCCCCAGTGACACATCATCACACAATGATGCATAACTTTCAAATGATGGTGGTTTGAGCCCACTCAAAGACCTTTCAAATGGCGGTGGTTTGACAGGAAATGGACTTCGTTTGGTTAGTTAAAACTAGTGACCACAATAGTGAGAGTGGAAGATTCAGGGAAAAACCACCAACAGTGACATACCCCCATGTTTTGAAATATAACTTCGTTTTTATAAAGAATTTCGACGATGGGCAAACACGAACATTTTACTAGACTCACATATCCTTCTAATAGCGGTGATTTGACGTCAAAAAGACTTCGTTCGACTGTTCAAAAGCCCCTTATAAAACATGTATATTCCTTGAACTTCACGGTAATACTATACATGCCTCAATAACATGTTCCATAACCTTCATTTCATGGTAATGAGCATGATAACAACTATTCTTTCACAATGTACACACATAAACATACATTTCTTACAGGATTTGTGAAACATATATTCATTTTCAGCAGCCACATTCATCATAGAACAAAAACCCTAGTTTCAGTGAACAAGGTATAAGAAATCATCACATCACATACATTTTTATTGCTTATTTCATAATCATATAAATTCATGTATTCTCATCGCTATAATGCAATAATGATGGATCCACTTACATGAACAACAATGGTGCCTTCTCCAAACCTTCTTTCACAGCTTTCTTCCACTCCAACAATGGTTGGCTTCTTCAAGTCTTTGCCTTAAAGAGAGAGAGAAATAAGGGAAGAAACGAATGGCGTGGGAGTGAGAGGAGAGAGCTTAAGTACTCATGTGGTTGGGGTGGTCGTCCAAGTGCCTTAAAGTCTAGACAAGTAGCACTCAAGGCTGCATGCACTTAGCAAGTGGTACTAACTATTCATGTATGTGAGTGACTCACAAGACGATGCACTAATTTTTGCTCCATTCCACTGCTGTGTGTGAAACTTCTTCTTTCCATACACTCACGATGTTGTTTCCCCTTTCTCCTTACACAGGCGGCGATGCCTTTCCCATTTCACAAACAACACTGACCTATCACACGTGGCGCTGACTCTCTCTCTCTCTTCATAGCTGGCGCTGCTCCTCATTCACAGACGGCAATGCCACAGACGGCGATGCGTCATTGTGTAAGCGCGGCGCTCTCTCTTCTCCAAACGGCGTTGACTCTCTCTCTTCTCCAAACGGCGCTGACTCTCTCTCTTCTCCAAACGGTGCTGACTCTCTCTTCTTCAGACGGCGTTGACTCTCTCTCTTCTTCAGACGGCGTTGACTCTCTCTCTTCTCCAAATGGTGTTGCCCACCTCTTGTTCACACTCGGTGCTCCTCCTTGAGTCACGAACGACGATACCTCTCCTCAACAGACTCATACCGCCATGCGTGTTACTGTGGCCGGAAAACTTTGGTCCTTACATGAAAGATATCAAGCCTATTAGGTTACTTGGAAACCTCTACAATATCATTGCTAAAGTACTTGCTAATAGACTTCAGGAGGTTTTGCATTTGGTGGTTGTAGGGCCTCAGTTTGCTTTTTTGAAAGATAGATAAATAATAGACAATATCCTTATTGCTTAAGAATGTATTCATTAAAGGAATGTATTCATTAAAGACTAAGGGATTAGAATCCAGAGATTATCTGTAAGATAGATTTCGAGAAAGCTTATGATACAGTTGATTAGCAAGTTTTTCAAAAGATTATCTGCAAAATGGGTTTTCGATCTAGATGGGGGTTATGGATACACGGTTGTCTCTCAACTGCTCACTTTTCTATTCTTTTTAATTGGAATGCTTGTGGTTATTTCAAGGCATCCAGGGGAATACGATAAGGGGATCTAGTATCACCGTATTTTTATACACTAATGGCATAAAGCTTTAGTGTCATGTTGAAATCAGTGGTGGAGAAAGGGTTAATTTATGGTATCAATATTGGTAAAATGGTTTGAAGATTTCATATCCACAAAATGCTGATGGTACCATCGTGTTTTGCAATCCTGAGGAAGGAGAAGTCAGGGCTCCTTGGATATTTTTAAAATGTAAGGAGCTATAACTACATGCCTGAAGGTCGATTTGGGTAAAACTACTTTGATTGGTATTGGTTGTAAAGAGAATAGGCTTTCTTTCTCTTCTCCCATGCCAGTCCAGTCGAGTACCTTTCCTTTCAGTCTGTATTCCACCAGTCAAGCTTGAAGTATAGGATTCAGACTAGCACCTTAGGCCCTTGACGGCACCAGACAGCTAGCAAATATAATTGGTTGTAATGTGAGTGCTCTGCCTTGTAAATATCTTAGGATTCCCCTGATTTCAGGAAATCCTTCCAGATTGATATAGGATCCTATTGTTGAGAGATTTGATAAGACGATGGATATTTGGAAATCCAATTTGCCTAATTACCTTATGTCCATCTTTCGCATGCCTATAGCAGTAGTGAAACATTTAGAAGATATTATGTGAGCTTTTCTATGGGGTGAAACGGGAAAGAGAGAAAAAAAAAAAAATTGCGGTTCGTAAGATGGGATAAGGTATGTGCATCCATTAAAGATGGGGGATTGAATATCAAAAGGCTAAAGTTGATGAATACAAGCCTCTTACAAAGTGGTGGTGGCGTTTTCATTTACAGCATAACTCTTTGTGGGGTAATGTGCTCCAAGATAAAATATGGAGTGGATGCTAGTTATGAAATTATTAAAAGCTCGAGATCCAAAGCATTGAGGTCTAGTGTTTGGAGAGGAATCGACTATTGTAGACCTTTATATCTACGCCAATTTAGATATATCGACTATTGTAGATCGCGATGCTTCTAATCTTTCATGGTCGAGAGGGGATGAACCAAAATTTGGTGTCAAAATATTTTATAAATAGAAATAAAAAATTAGTGCTGAAACATGATATTGTGATTAGAGCTATCAATAGTTGGATATGAAGAAATATATAATTTTAGGGAAAATATCTTTGTAGACTCTCTTTTTAAGTTTCATTTCTCTATAGATCCTTGGTTTTAAAACCTATCTTAATATATAGAGATTTTATCTAGTATATTTTCTAACCTCTTAGAACAATTTTATCCATTTTTATTTTATATTATTTGCCCAAACAAAATTTTTAAAAAGACATTATTTTTAAACTCCATCTCTCCACATGTTTCCTTCTCTCTCTCCATGTAAATCTCTCAAGCCCTCTCTCCGTACTTCCCCAACTCTCTCTTTCTGTCTCTCTCCCAAACTTCGCCAAATCCCTCTATCTCCATTTATGCCTATCCTCTCTCTTCCCATGTTTTCCCAAATGCCTTTTTCTCCCATGCTTCTGCATATCTCTCTCCATTTTTTCCATCTTCTATCACTCCTGTGCTTCTCCAATCCCCCTCTCTCCATTTTCTCATCTTCTCTCTCTACCGTATTTATCCAAATCCCCTTCTCTCTCTCTCCATTCTTTCATCCTCTCCCTCCCTCTCTCTAAATCACCATTTTTCCCATCCTCTCTCCCTCTCTCTCTAAAATCACGGTCCCTGTCCTATACCAAATTAAGGTCTCTCTCACATCCAAATAAAAAAATATCTTTACAAATTTGTTTGTGTTAAAAAGTCAAAATAAAAATTAGTAAAATTGATTAGGAGGTTAGAAGATGGGTCTTGAAAGTTTTACCAAAAAAGTTATCGGATGAATATTTCTTGTGATGTACCATTGAAAGAGAAACAAGACGGAGAGAAAATCCAATCCCAGGTTAGAAGATGGGTCCTGAAAGTTTTGGGTCCACCAAAAAAGTTATCGGATAAATATTTCTTGTGATGTACCGTTGAAAGAGAAACAAGACAGAGAGAAAATCCAATCCCAGTCACTCGAAAGTGAAAGAATGATTTTATTCGTCTTCATATTGGTAGAGACTTGTTAGAACACGATTCCCAGTCACTCGAAAGTGAAAGAATGATTTTATTCGTCTTCATATTGGTAGAGACTTGTTAGAACACGATAAGAGTCTAGAGAGAGAAAACAAAAAGTTCAAAAAATTTTGTTTTCTCTCTCACAGGGATAATTATTTGTCGGGTCGACGTTCGCCGGGAAACAAGAGAAACGAGACGTGAGCGACGCGTCAGCAGCAGCGGCTCGTCGTGGCGACGAGAGACAGAGGGAGGCTCGCCATTGCGCCGCGTTCACCGGCTTGCCAGGCCCTATGTGGCGTCACCACAGCGAGCATGAGCTCCTCTCAATCCATTATAAATTCCACCTAATCTCCGTTTTCTGCGATCGAACTGAGTTGAAAGCAAGCTTGTTGATTGTTTATTGTTTATTGTTTATTGTTTATTGGGTTTAGGTGATTTTGTTGGGGTTGTTTCTTCTGAGGTTGTTAGAGAAATAATGACGACTCGTCAGGAGAGGAGAGAGCTGGACGAGAAGGCGAGGCAGGGGGAGACTGTGGTGCCTGGAGGGACCGGAGGGAAGAGCCTCGAGGCGCAGGAACACCTTGCTGAGGGTCAGATGTCGGTCCCTCTTTCTAGGGATTTAGCTTTGCTTATGGACTGTTGGAGTGGCAATGGGACCGGGTGGCTTTTTTGGGTTTTAAAAAACTACGGTGTGGACCACAAAATGTAGCTCATGGTCTGGCCGGCTTTTTTTTTTTTTTTTCCGTTAAAATTTTAACTTAGCCCAAGCAGCGGGCCATTTTTTTCTATTTATTTTGGTTCTTTAATTTTAAAATTTGAAAACTTTAAGGGCTAGGCTCAGCCCTCAAGTGAACAAGTCCGATACCTTCGTAGGCCTGTTTATGTTATTGTTTTCTTAATCTTTTATTCTATGAATGATGTAATTATGGGTTGTGAGAGGCTTTTATAACGTGGTTTGGTGATTGTAGGGCGTAGCCGTGGAGGTCAGACCCGAAGGGAGCAGCTTGGGACGGAAGGGTATCAGGAAATGGGACGCAAGGGAGGCCTCAGCACTCTAAACCAGTCCGGTGGCGAGAGTGCCGAGCAGGAAGACATCGGCATCAACGAGTCGAAGTTCCGAACCACCAACACCAAGTAGAACATGTCGTGTTTCCTCTTTGTTCCTTGCATTTATGGGTTTTGTATGCAGCGTCTGGTTGGGTCTTTCTTCATAGGGGGGTGGGGTTTGTGCTTCTCCTTCAAGTTGGAGTTGATAAAGAGTGATGTAGCTTTGCTACATTCCGATATGTTCTGGTTCCTTGGGTTCTAGTGCTCCTTGGAGTACTGCTGATTTATTTGAATAGAAATGGTGTTGGTTCTTTGTGGGTTTGAACATTTTTCTTCTGTCTTTGAATGGTTGTGACATTGATCGTAGTTTATAAAGGTGAATGCATCAAACCTGATCGACTGATAACGAGTAATTCCGAATGTGTGGCTTCATGATTATCCTTGAAAGGTTACAGCGCACCTTCGAGTATAATTCTACAAGCGTGTGACATCTTAATTATGAGTAGCGTCGATCGATGAAAATTTGAAAATTTTGAAAATTGACGTCTACTAAGGCATTATAAGATAATACTATTTTTGAAAGCGTTAAAGGATGTATTATTTTGTGAACTTAAATTTATTTTGTCAGTTTAAATCTTGAAAATTGACGATCCAATGTGGCATTATAAGGTAGTATTATTTCTGAAAGCGTTATAAGATGAACTATTTTGGAGATTTAAATTTTTTTTTTTTAAAATGTCCGTACATTTTATAGGGTTGATCATTGATGTCGCCATAATCAAAAGGATATTTGGGCATCAAAATTACTACTAGTGAAGTTTATGATGTGGGTTTTAGTTTGATTGTTTACAGCCTTGGTTCCATGGACACTCTAAAGATGTACTACTTGCGAAAGCGTTGCAAGATTACTATTTTGAGAACCTTTTTTCTTAATCATGTCCATACTCCTTGTCCAGGTGATCATTGATGTCGCGATAATCAAAAGGATATTTGGGCAATTTTTGATATCGGCTCTAATTTGTTTAGAGTCTCGGTTCGTAGGTAGACTCTTTTCAAAGTGCCCCTCCCAAGTGTGTTAAGAGCCTCGGTTCATACACTCTTCTTGTAATAATTTATTTTAAATAAAAAAAAAAATTTAAAATAAGTGATGGTCTGTATGAGCATGATAGTCTTCATACACTCTTCTTGTAATAATTTATTTTAAATAAAAAAAAATTTAAAATAAGTGATAGTTTGTATGAGCATGATGGTCTTTAAAATCCATCACTACTTTCAAATGCTTTTATCTGGTTTAAGCTTTTGCTTTTGCCGCCTCTTTTAGAGGTGGAGGTGGGCTTTAAGCATTTAAAATGTAATATACCTGTTACAAGTGTGTGTGGTGTAATTTAATAAAAGAATATAAGGTGTTGTAATAATTTAAATAGGAGACGATGACTTCCATTTTAGAAAATTTTGAGATCTCTCTCTAGTCGAAACGCAGTGAGTTCCTCTTTCTAGTCGAATTTTAATCGGAAGTTTCCTATCAAATATTTTAGGTAAGTGATTTCATTATTTTGAAAAATAATTCGTTGTTTTTTTAAATG